TCACAAATTAGACCATTAGTAGAGTAGCCAATCACAGCGCAGTATGAGTGATAGACCATTAATATGTTTATACTAAAACATAAATATACCACACCAGCAGCCAATCAGAATGCTTGATTTGTATAATAGAACATAGTTTCGTGGATACTAATACTAATTACATTTCTGCTTAGAATAACAAGGTTAAATTGAAATAAAAGTTTGTAAAACTTTTACAATAAATTCAAACACCTTTGATTTTCATCTCAGAAATCAGTTAAGGAAGACATAAACATTTGGGATTACTCGAAAAACTTCTCTTTCATTGACTAATTAATTGATCAAAACTCAGTCATTCCACAAACGTTTACCTTGAATATGTGAGTGCGCCTTTAACTTTAAAAAGTTTTAGGATTTCAGTGCAATACTTAATACAATATTGATATTTTAAAGGGCTACTTGGACGAAAATTGCGAAACATTAGAAAAGACTGGGAAACCAAATAGACCTATCCATATGGGTCTAATAATCATGACGCAACAGATTTCAGGAAGATATTGATACAAATCCTTCAGATTTAGGCACAAAATGTCGGAGTAGATGACGTCACTTACTCCATCCTTTTGTTCTTCCATCTTTTGAATCAAAATTTCTCTGATGTGGGACAATTCAAAAACAAATATTTGCTCACAATTGTTTTTAGTAGATATAAATGAGTCATATATTTGTATTGGTTGAAGTTTTGAAATAAGGCCATTTTCATGCAAGTAGCACTTTAAAGTTATAGCGATTATAACTCCGGGACACACAGAGTCTTTTTGCCGATTTTTGCGGCGATTTTTGTGGTTATTTTGACCCTAGAGAATAAAATGCTCAAGAATTAACTTGTAAAGTTTTATTCACACACTGACATGACCTTACTCATCCCCCTCAGGAGGAAAAAATCTTTTATATTTTTGAAAAATACCTTAAAAATTGCAGCAAAAGTCGCCCAAAAAAATCGCCAGAGTAAACGGGTGTAATGTCGAAGTCGGTCGAAATGACCGGCTTCAGATCGTTGTGCATTTCTGAGTGGTTTAGTGCAATGTTTACAAATATTGAGTAAATTACGTAAAAACCCGTGTATAAGAACACCTATTTTGGCATTTCAGGCTGATTTGGTTCTTATATAAAGGGTTTTATACAACTTTTCAGTAAAATCAGACGTTTCGATTGGTTGGCTTTCGTGTGTTATCAAAGTATAGATACGCGGATTACGTCAAAACTAATTGTTTGTTGTATAAAACAGATAGATCTCATTTTTCCGTGCGTGTGTACTCTAATAGATACACAGATGACGTCAAAATCAAGTGAGAACAACAGTCACGCACTCGACAGCGTCTCGTGCGTACTTTTTTGTTCTCACTACATTTTGACGTCATCTGTGTATCTATTAGAGTACACACGTACGGAAAAATGAGATCTATTTGTTAAATAATATGCAAAATCAGCCTCTAAGTGTTCTTAATAAAGTGTTCTTTAAAAAAAGCTTCTTAAAATAAGGAACATACTTGGCCGCCAATAGGTGAAATCAATATGATGTAACTATTTTGATTTAAAAAAATTGATCAATCAATGTGTGCAATGAAAAGTAGAGTGTTGATCTTTGATATGTTTCCATATATAAGAACAACTTTCATTTTTCAGGCTACATGTGTTCTTATACAAATGCAGTATAGTTTATTTCCTAAAATCAGGACTGCGTGTTCTTAATCCACTTGTTCTTATACGCGGGTTTTTACTGTAGTGCAGTATAGTCTGTGATGTTTTAGTTGGTTCCACAGTATCGAAGGCAAGGCGGTGGATCAAGATTCTTCAATTGGTACGTGTAAAACTTACCATAACAATTACAGACCCTAATCTTCTTCTCTACATAACAACAATTTTGATTCAAGCTGAAACATACTGTCATATCAAAAAGACCTTGTTCGACCTTGGGGTGCTCCCCCTTGAGCCACCCCGTTCCGGAGGCACTGCAGCGATTTGGCTGGGTACATGAAGTCGGCATGCGAACACCAGCAGGGCTGATGAAGCGATACCACTTGGATTCATGAATTCCGTTGTCGCATCTCTCCATGGAAGTCTCGGAGTAATTCATACTCCGTGTTGGATCGTTAAACTTTATGTAACCACTGCATGCGAATTCTGAATAAAAAACAAGTCAGTATTATAATTGATATCAAATTAATATTATTGTTATTAGTATTATTATATTATCATAGTTTTACAAAATGCTTTTAAGTTGAACACTTTTCTTTTAAAAGCAACTTTTTCTGACATTTTAGCATTTTTTCCTTGGTTTCGCGAAACGAGTGTAGTAATGTGACGACCTCGGTTTAATTAATACCCAAGAAACTCAAAAAAGGCGGTGTCCCCTAAGGATGACAGATATATATATCGGGTTATCATGAGCAAAAAAAGTTCCAAAAACTTTCGTAGTTTATAGTTCTTAATAAGCCCTTTTACAGTATAAAATTATTTTACAGTTTTCTTTAATTTAAACTTTATGCTAATTAGCAAAATTTTGTAAACAAAGATCCGCCTATAGAAGTGTCATTATTTATGTATTCAATATTATGTACCTACAGGAGTTACAAGCATAGAAAGGGACTAAACAACTCGACTACAAACTGTCTTTATTCAATATGGCGGCTCCTAACACATGATGTGGTATGTCGCTGACCAACACACGTCGTTATTCAGGGTTCACTCAATTGAGCGAATTGATCTCATGGCTTAATGGTTGGGCTCAGGGAAAATATAGGATTTAATCAATGCATTGCGCTGGTTCTTCTTTGCGTAAGGGGCGGTCCATTTAACTTTTGAGTGGGGGGACGATTTTGCAAAAAAAATCCTGCAAGCCATCTTCACAAAAAAAAAATCGTGCACAACATATGGACCTGAAAAAAAATCTTGCACCACCCTAAGCCCCAAAAAATGTTACATATACAAGAAGAAAAAAATTCCTACACACCACCAAGAGAAAAAATATATATCCTACACAAAAGCCACGAAAAAATCTTG